CCAGCATTTGGCCCATATTCCTCTAAATCCTTCCTATTCATAAATCCAGCCTTTTAAATTTTGTGATAGTACCAGCCTCCACCACTTCCTCTGGCAGCTCTTTCCATACGCGCGCCAACCTCTGTCAAAAAGTTGCCCCCTAGATCCCTTTTAAATCTTACAATGGCTTCCCCATCTGGTGACATTGCCTGTAGATTGAAAAAAAGAGAATTTAAATTCTTTATAATGCTTTGTGAGAATAGTACATTTCTTTTGAAGCTTATAAAAAAAATCTTGTTTCCACAATATCTCTATTTACTTTCCTTTCTTCAATCTTCTCAAAAGGTAATAAGAGACTCATTTAACTGATATTACTTGAGTAATGAAAATTGAATAATAATGAAAATCTCGTAAGACAGAATACTTTCACCTTCCTACTCAAATTCTACATTCAACTCCCTCTCACCTTAAACCTGTGCCCTCTAGTTTTGAACTCCCCCTCCCTGAGGAAAGACCTGGGCTATTCACCCTATCCATGCCCCCCGTGATTTTATAAACCTCTATAAAGCCTCTGAAACTCCAGGGAAAACTTCCTCAGTCTATTCAACCTCTCCCTATAGCTCAAATCTTCCACCCGTGGCAACATCTTTGTAAATCTTTTCTGAACTCTTACAAGTTTCACAGCATCCTTCCTGTAGCAGGAAGACCAGAATTTCACATGATCCATGGTTTGTATTTATCCATAAGCCTATTTATTGACATGAAGGTCCCAAATTGTCATGCTGCTCACAGTATTTTATTAGGTCATAGTCATGGTTGCGAGTAACTCCATTTTGTATGGTGCCTACTGTAAATCTCAACGTAGACGGATGGGTTTCATGTGGTGGGTTAGCGCAATGGAATCCACTTTGACATCACAATGACTAGTAGACAAGAAGCAATTACACCTAAAATGTAGCTCTGGACTCAACCACAAAGCAAAGCAGATTATCTTCCATTGCCTCTGAGAATGTTGTTTTAAATTGCTGATGTTTTGACACATTGATGCAATACTGTGCTTTTTTTCCAAACCCTCCTCTAATTCTGTGGGAAGCAAACTATGCTTTACAATATCTTTAAGTAAAGATGCAATAATCAACTGGTCCAGCAACTCCTATACAGCATGATTTTATTATGAATCAAATATAGGATATACTGATTCTTTAAACAAAATCAAAGATTTCTGGTACAGCTTTAACATCATTGTTGCTACCCAAGGTATCATACCTTAGTTGAACGAGTTTTACTAAACACGTTCCAGAATCGGAGTGTTTCGTCTCCAGCTCCAGTTACAATGGCTTCCCCATCTGGTGACATTGCCTGTAGATTGAAAAAAAGAGAATTTGAATTCTTTATAATGCTTTGTGAGAATAGTCCATTTCTTTTGAAGCTTATAAAAAAAAATCTTGTTTCCACAATATCTCTATTTACTTTCTTTTCTTCAATCTTCTCAAAAGGTAATAAGAGACTCATTTAACTGATATTACTTGAGTAATGAAAATTGAATAATAATGAAAATCTCGTAAGACAGAATACTTTCACCTTCCTACTCAAATTCTACATTCAACTATATACAAGGGATTCAGAAAAAAATGTAAGTGCAGATACATCTTTTTTGAGGCTGTGTAAGAAAAATACGCATACACAAAGTTTTTCAGTATGACCCTGAGTATGTAATGACAGACTGCAGCACTCCCTGCAACAGCTTCTTCTAATGCAAGTCAACAAGCCTGGGCAAATTGTGTGGTGATATCATCATTAAACTACTTGTGAGAGTTAAGCCAGTCTGCTCAATGCAGGTAACTCCTTAATTCCCATATATAGACACAGCATTCACCAAGTTTTAATCTTTAGGACTGTAAAACAGAATTATGCACTTGGTGGTTCAAAACTGCATTTCAGAACGACTGGATACAGTGACATGACCAATCAGGTGCAGCATTCTCTCCTGTTGGCCATAGTGCACCCAGCAACATTCTGGATATGCAAAGATAAAATCTACCTGCAGACTGCCTCTTCACCTAAATCAGCCAAGATCTTCAGGCTTTTTTGTTGAGTCCTTAGCTCTGCTGATATGCATAATGCACAGTGGTGAGATGCAGTCACAGCAGGCAAATATGAAATACAGGAAAAGTTTCAGTGGAGTGGTTCATATTGAAATCTTCAAAGTACTGCATTATTCTTGGAAATAGTCCGATAACTAACACTAGCTATATTGATCTTGCTGGGAGAAGCGAAATTTGTTCCAGGGAATCATCATCTTAGTTCAAAGTCTTCATATACATTTTTCTTACCTTCAAATTCAATATTCTAGATTAAAAATAGTGTAGTACATTTGCATCAAAAGCAGCAAGCTGGTTTAGGGAGGGAGGGATCCAGCCTACACTGATCCTTGTCGGCTTTGGATAGTTGTAGACTACCCGTGTTTTGAGCTGCAACTTTCGCAGTGGTCCTATATCTTTACCAATGCCCACAGATAATTGCTTAGATTACATAGCTGGTAATAAATTTGTTGGATTGGTTCATTGATGTTCTAGACATGTCTAAACCGTGTTACATTGTCTGGTATATCCTAAACTGCCCAGTCCAGGTCTTCGTCATGCTGATGCCACTTCTGCAATATTACATGCAAACTAACTGACATAACCGGAAGGGTTTAGAGGAACAAAAACAGAAGTTGCTGGAAAAGCTCAACTGGTCTGGCACCACCTGTGGAGAGAAATCAGAGTTAACTGGGATTAGATTAATTCAGGATATCTGGTCGGCATGGATGAGTTAGACGGAAGGGTCTGTTTCCGTGCTGTACAATTCTATGACTTTATGACTCCATTACTGAACAAAGTTGAAATTAATGAGATCAATTAACAGAGCTTTTGTCAATAATTGCTTAGAACAGATACCTTGACTACCATTTGAAGGCTGCAAATACCTAATGTCAATATTAGCAAAGTCGAGTAATTTTGTACAGTTATCTTGAGTCAATCAGCCTTGTAAGGCTTTTAGCACTGAATGCATACGTTGTTGATTATAAAGTCAAAAGCATTATAATTTTAATCCTTGAGTTAGTTATACAAAGTGAATGTGAAAATCATAATGACTAACTCACCAAGTATAGCACTCTGTATGAATGTCCTGTCAGCTTGGCTACTTGTGTTAACGATGGATACTTCCACACCAAGATCTGATTTTGTGAATAACCATGAGTACTCACCTGCAAATAATGAAACAATTTTAATTAAACTGATAAAAATGTACGTAAAAACCACCACAGCACCACTTTAAAAAGTGAATTAAAAGAAGTCCAATTGTGCTCCACTCATTATTATTGTAACATTTTTTACACAACAGCATCAATATTTATAACAATGTGTCATTTCTACATTTCTTCTGTATTTCAGTTATTGCCCAGTCTCAAAACAGTGCTTTTCTCAACTGCTGTAAAATCTGCAAAACCTCTAAATAATTATGCTCTCACTGAATGGAAAATTTTCCCTAAGTACCAATTATGTGAGAATGAGGAGAATACAATGATTTATTTGCTAAATCTAATGCTATGGGCCTTCTAATTAACCAATAAAACAATGGTCCAAATATTCTGATCACTGTTGGTACAGATTTAACCAACGGTAATCCCCTTTAAAATTACTGCTTACCCATTGGCAATTTGTCTGGCCATGATTCCATCAAATGACAGCAGGGAGAAATATACTGAGCGCAGTTCAGTTTCTTACACCACTTGCTGACATATTTCAGAAGTTAAAGGTTGCCAAGACATTTTGAAAGTGATTGAAGAAAGCTAAGTGTGTAAGCTAAGGAGAAAGGAGTGGAGGCAGATAGTAGGTGAGCGGGAGTAGGGTCGCAGGTGAGGGGTGTAGGGGCCAGGTGGATAGTGTATATGGTTTTAGGCTCTAGAGGGTCAGTTTGGAGTTGGGTCTGGTGGTTCAGCAGTTGAGAATTGAGGGTTCCATTTAACATTCATCCTAGGAGATAGCTTTTTAGTCCTTCCAACCTTTTCTGGGTTAAGCTTAAGTGAGTCCGAACCCTCTGAATTTTCCAACATTTAAGGGGCGTTTTTTTATAGAGTTCCAGATGTAGAGGAATTGCTCCTTGGAAGTTCAAATTTTCTGAGCAATTCTCATGGAGTTAATTGCATCATGAATTCCACACGGTCCCAACGTGCAACTCCAGTCTACTCTGCTCCATAGACTCTAACCATTTGAATGTCTAGGTCAATATTAAAACAATACTCAAAGAAAATGAAATAAAATTTTAAGTATACACTAAATGCAGATTAAAATGTACTATTATCAATTCTCTAATATTCCCATTACTGATATGGCCAATATTAATTACCACCTCTCGGCTTAGAAAACTGAGTGGTTTGTTGGCAAGAGTTGTTCTAAGAGTTATCACTTTAACATAAAAGCTTAACATACGAGGAACGTTTGAGGATTCCGCGACCATACTCATTGGAGTTTAGAAGGATGAGGTGGAATCTAATTGAAACTTACAGAATACTGAATGACCCAGACAGAGTGGATGTTGGGAAGATGCTTCCATTGGTAGGAGAGACTAGGATCCGAGGGCACAGCCTTAGCGTAAAGGGAAGACTTTTTAGAAGGGAGATAAGGAGAAACTTCTTAAGCCAGAAAGTGGTGAATCTATGGAATTCAGTGCCATAGAAGGCTGTGGAGGCCAGGTCATTGAGTACATTTAAGACTGAGATAGATAGGTTCTTGATTATCAAAGGGATCAAGGGTTACAGGGAGAAAGCGGGAGAATGGGGCTGAAGAACTTATCAGCCATGATTGATGGCGGAGCAGACTCGATGGGTCGAATGGCCTAATTTCTGCTCCTATGTCTATGTCTTATCACCATTGGTTAAGCCAGGCCAGATAAGGATAGCAAATTTACTCCCATTAAATAACACTGGTGAATCTCTAGAGGTTTTAAGGTACCCCAATAGCTTTGCTTTAGGAAAACTAAAAGCAAGTGAAATGCTTTGTACTTACGAGCTCATTTGCATGTTTGGACCAAGCAAGGTTGCACACCTGAGAACCTGTATCAATGCACTGCAAAGGCTGAGATGTAAGAGTATTCCAGAAACGGATGCACCGGTCAGCAGTTCCACCACCTGATGCAAGGAGACCATGCTGATGGGGTGACCAGGCAATAGCTTTCACTGCTGCAAGATGCTCTGTATACTGCTGTACTGGGCCTGAACTGGAATTGTTCCACACCAGTAGCTAAATAATGACAAGTTATATGTAAAAGAATCAGATTTTGCAATACAATGTATAACTATTTTGTCTTTAAAATAATCTTTGATTCACTTAAATCTTAGGATTCAAAGAACAATAGATTTTCACAAATCACGTACTGCTTACTTTCTCTCACCAGGAATGGGAAGGGTTTTGCTAAATCCACACTAACACAAGCAGTTTATTGATCAGTGGAATGGCTAAGACTGCTAAGCAGGGTACAACGAACAATAATAAAGCTGATCACATCACTCCAGTTGTGAAAATTATACTCTCTTTAGTAAGAAAATCTCACACATCTTAATTAACAAACTCTGAGTCAATTATAACAGTTAAATACTGGAAAAATACATCTACATGGAGACTGCAATTATATAAAAATTCTGCTCATTCAGTAAAACAGCTGACTTGATCATTCCTGAATGATATCATTGTCTGTATGCACATGCACCTGTCTATTCTTGACTACACAGCAATGGCAGAAATGATTCATTTTAAAGTCTTAAGTTCAAATAACTGATTTTTTTAAAGTGAAGAAGTGTAACGACAAGGTGATAATAATTATACACAAGAGTGAACATGTAGACAGTTTTGTCTAGCTTTCAGCAATTACGCTCAAAAAAAGCAGTTCCCGCCTTATACATGCTACTTCCTCATAGCAATGCAGTTGTGATGGGAGAAGTACTGATAAAGGCTGAACACAACATAAAACTAATATGCCGGTACTTTAATACCTATTACCATGTCAGATTACAGATATTTTCCCAGTGCCCATGTTATTGCTCACTGTACTTCCCCAATGTCTCTAACTGAATTTCAGCATCTCATTCAAGTGGCAATTACTGACGTACGAGTTGCAAAACTGAATAGAGTCTATTATATCTCATTGGAAGAAACACAGCCAAGGATGTTCCTGTTCAACAGTTCCTTTTCTTATTGAAATTACTTTTCGGGATCAGGAATGGCAGCCCTGTTTCTTCTTCTGGAACAAAAGAGCACTGTATCCAACTGTAATGCCCTTAAAGCTACTACAGCCTAGATCAGCTAAGTCAGTTTTCATCATGTTTTTGTATTCATACATTTCATTACCTTGTTATCATTTCCTCCAGATGCGAGAAGCTGGTGATCTGTTGACCATTTCAAACCACAAACTTCCTGCCTGTGACCCTGAAGTCGGCGCTCTGATTGTAAGGGTGGAGTACGGATATCTCTCTGGAGAATAAGACGGTCCCTACTTCCTGATGACAGCTGATCAGCATTCCATGCAAGGGCCCCTATAAGCACAAATCAACTTTAAACTGCTTACCAGGCTAAAGATGTAAAATAAAACTACTGACAACTTGTGTTTTGTTTTAAAGCTGCTTTAATTTGAATTGATTGGAAGCCAATTTGTCTGACAACAAATCTGCTGATTTTTCTGCTTATCATACTGAAATTTGCTCCTTATTTTGTTAAATTACTTTTCCTTTTGCCAGTAATTATGAGAAATGTCTGTATTTTGTTTTCATTAGCTTAAGAAACCTGATTAAACACCATGCTTTATTTCATGGAGGTCGTCAACACTCAAAACTGACCAAGTTTTTTTTTCAAATTCAATGACGGATATGCATCCATTAAGAACCGCCTGTTTGCAAATTAGGCTAATGATTGCTCCCTTTGTAATGATGGCACATGCAAGCTCACTGATGGGAAACAGATAAATTCTCTCCAACTAATGCTTCACCAAGGAAAGTATTTGATAGCAATATATCCAATATCTCAAGATGTGAGGCACAACTAACTTCTTTAACGTAACACTTTATCTTAATTACTCAACATGAGTTAAGTATATTGCTAAGAGAAAGGTGGAGAAGTAGAGCAGTTTAGGGAGTGAATTTCAGAGAACAGTACACCCCAGCTCATGATATAACTGTCAGAAATAAGGTGAGAATATAGAAAAAGGCACAGCCACGAAAACAAATAACTAAAGAAAGTGGAAGAGAGAACTGGAAACTGGTCACTGAACTTGAAATGTTAACTGTTTTTCTCTCCAGAGATGCTGCCAAACCTGCTGCGTTTCTTCAGCAATTTCTGTTATTGTGCGTTTCAGATCTCCAGCATCCGCAGTTCTTTGTTTTATTTTAGTGCTTCCTTTTATGATCAATTCCTCTCGTAATCAAGAAAGCTAATGAATACTGTAACTTATTATCAGCTGTGCCTGAATATTAACTTTTATGGCTCACTGGAATACCTTAATCCCTCTGCACCTCGGAGTTCCACAATCGTCATCTATTTAAGTAATATCCCCTTTTCTCATTCTACCTGCCTACTACACATTTTCCTAGATTATACTCCATCTGCCAGATTTTTTCCCACTCATTCAACGTGTCCACATCTTTCTATAAATTCCTAATGTCTTCTTCACAACATACTTTTCCTATCTACATTTGTGCTGTCCCCAAACTCAGCGCCAATGCCTTTGTTCCCCTCATCTAAGTTGTTGATAAGTTACAATCCTGGCATTGGGTCCTAAAGGTCTCCACTCATCACATCTGGCCAATGAGACGACAACCCATTTAAGTATTCTGTTTTCTACCTAAAAACCTAACTCTATTCATGCCAATATATTTCCCCTACATTTTTAGCTTTTACTTTCTGCAATAACCTTTGGCATGGTACCTTATCACATATCTTCTGGAATTCCAAATACAATACATCCACAATGTATGTTACTTCCCCCAAAAGAGTCTCATAAATTGGATATACATGCGATAAAAAATGATTTGTCTAAGGAATCAAAAATAAGTACCATTTGTTTTTAACAAAATTGAAAAATATTCTTTGTCCTCTTGTGCAAACAATTCTAAAATAAATGCACACCTTTAAGTTTATTACATTGAAACATTATCTATGGAATTCACTGCCACAGAAGGCTGAGGAGGCCAGGTCATTGAGTACATTTAAGACTGAGATAGATAGGTTCTTGATCATCAAGGGTTACAGGGAGAAAGCGGGAAAACGGGGTTGAATGACGGAGCAGACTTGATGGGCCAAATGGCCTAATTTCTGCTCCTATATCTTATGAAACAGCTCTGAAGTATCGCATTATAAAAATGACAGTGAGGACATTACATGAGTGACAGTGACTTAGGCAGAAAAGACTTGGCAGAGATCTTATTGGGGCCGTAAAAAATGCCAATATCTGAAGAATATATAAACTGGCTTGAAAATATGATGCTTTAATGTAAATGTTTGTTGTCTGTGTTGCTTCATAACCTTGATTCTAATTATTTGTGATTGAAAGCAAATTGAAGCAGGTTTTTACTTTAAAAGGTGCTCATGGCAAATTACAAGGTTTGATCTGATTTCCAACAACTTACCTACTCTAGCAGAGTGTCCTTCAAGTGTAGATATTTTTTTCCCTGCAGCTGTATCCCAGATCTGAACATATCCTTTGTGTGTTCCAACAGCTACCAGGTTTCCCTAGAAAACATTACGTAACTATGATTTCAAAATCTTTTTAATTTCTATATGTAAATGACAACTTTTATTGCCACCCATAATAACTGGATATTAAATCAAGGCATTATAAAATTTATTTTTGCCTGACATTTTCTAAAATTGTGGCAATAAAATTCCTATTTCTGGGAAATTTATTACCAAAGTGGTTTTGTTTTTACTATTCCCCAGGAAAGTCTCAGTATTATTTATAATGAAAAAAATGTCAGCTACCTTATACCACATCATACTTGAAATTAAAACATAATTCTCATACCATCAAGTGTAAATCATGGAGACTTACCTTCAATGGTACTGGAAACAGCAATATTTGACATCAAAATTTCTTTTATTTTTGGGAAGAGAACGATATACTCAGTGGATGTCTCAAGGTTTGTTAATAGCAAATCATCTTAATGTTGCACATGCAACAATTTTTATTAAGTTCCTTAATCTGTCCCTGAAGCAACGAATACAATACTGAATAGCAGAATTTATCCAGCATGGATGGTGGTGTTCTGGTTAGGGTAATTCATCGCCCAGGGTAGTACCATTTAATATCTACTACTACATGCTCTGAAATACTTGATGAAATGAAAGTTAGTACCACTTTTCAAATTTAGCTTCTTCTTAATTAATATTGCAAAACTGAAAAGTTCTCTCAAATGTATAAAAAACAAACTGTCATTCTAAAGTGATAAAAGACTTCATATAAATGAGTGTCCCATAATGTTTCACAGCCAATTAAGTAATCTTCAGGTGTAGCCATTGTTTAACAGAAAAACATGGCAGTTAATTCGTACACAACAGTTCATACAAATGGCTGTGGGATAAGTGAATAGTAAAATTTCCTTTTATTGAAGCATGAAGACCTAACACCAGGAGAAAAACTCTCCTCTTTTTGAAGAGTATTGCTGGAATTTTTATAAGAATAGCAAAAGTACAGCTTTAGTTGTCTTATTCATAGATGGCACCTTCAAAAGTGTAGCACTTCTCCAGCACAGCGCTGAAATATTAGCCTCAATAGCACGTTCTCTTAAGTGATAGAGTATAAAACCAATGACATTCTCAATCAGAAGAATGTTACAACGGCTGATAAACTTTCCTTTCCTTTCATATGTCACAAATACATATCAAATTTACAGGACTACTCAAAATAACTGCAAAGTACATTGAATTATGAAATCGAGATTTTTTTTTGTTTGTTGCAGGCTTACTTGCACTGAACAAAGTGATTAGAAATAAAACAATCAAATGAAATAGGTGTATTTAAGTAAGACTTCAGCCGGCGCAATTTTCACATCGAAAGAATGATATTTACTCTCTCTGACCAGCCAACTGATGTAACAGAATCTCCGTCAATAGAAAGGTCACACAACCTGATCACCTAAAAGAAAGAAAGTCCATATTTAAGATACATGATTTAAAAAGATGTACACAATCAGAGCATCAAAATTTTCTTAAAGCTGTGCTGAAAGCAAAAGTTGCACGTAAATAATCAAACAATTTATTCCAGAAAATGATCTTTCTGATGCTGAGTTTTCAAATTACATATTTCACTCCATTATTAGATCAATACACTGAACTTTTTTTGTATATTTCAATATTCTAAGATTGAGATCTTGCTTTTTTCAAAAGCACAAGCTTTAATTGATTTCCAGATTGTGAACACTACACATATGCAGAATTTAACAGTATTGTCAGCTCTACGGAGCAAATATTTTTCCTTTTAGATCTAGAAATTTCAGGGGAAAGTTTTAATTCAGTTAAGCTTTAATTGACCTTTCTAATATGTAAAGTGAACACATTTTGTTTTACAAAAGTGACAAACTGATTGAACACTTTTTTTTACTACTTTGAGAGATAAAAACTTCATTCATCTTGCTTCTCATTGTAATTTGTTTGTTCAATAGAAGCCTCCAGATGCCTTCGATAATCATATGTTGCTCTGACAATCAGAACAGCATCTGATAATTAATGTTTACTTAGAAAATGTGAATTTGTAAATTTGAGAAGGTCCCCACACACACAGGCACAAATAATGGTCCAATGCAAAGTCAAACATAACCGACTCTTAGAAATTCTAAGGACAAATATCCTTCTTTTTACATATTCAATGTTTACCAATGCATTTTCATTAAAACTGATACTTGTGTTTGCCTACAAGAAATTTTAAAAAATGTTTGTTTCAAATGTCTGTGGCAAGTCAATAATATGTACAACTATCTGTGTATTGAATGTGAGTGTTCTTAGAAGGTGCTAAGCATGATTATGTAAAAAGACTAACAATCTTGAGGTTTAGATGAAATTTACAAATTCAACTAAACATTTATGCTTTAGGATCATGTTTAGTCATGATTATACACCTTTACAAATATTCACTGTTAACCTATTTTTTGTTTCTCAAGCCATGTTTTAAAACAAATAGCTGAAGTAATGAATGAAGAGGGCACATTCTTTGAAACATTCTCATTTAAAATATATATTGAATGAAAAGCAATCTCAATGAGATGATAAAAACTGAAAGAACAGTTCTGAGGAAGGGTCACCGGACCCGAAACGTTAACTCTATTTTTTCCTTCACAGATGTTGCCAGACCTGCTGAGTTTTTCCAGCAACTTTGTTTTTGTCAATGAGATGGTAGTTTGTTAGTATTTAGAAGTTGAATATCCTTAAGACTTGAACACTAATGGACCAGAAGGCAATATAGTTGAACTTGCATAAGTGTAATGTGTAACTAATTGCATTATGAAAAAGGTAAGGTAAGGTAAAATTGTCATAGTCTTACCAGACCATAGGGCTGTTCTCTTACGATTAGTGATGGGTTAACCAGAGGGTCACCATGCCTCAGGCAAGGGGGGAGGTTGAAAAGGAGAATCATTCATGGTAGCCTCAGTTGGAGGAAGAATTGAACCTACAACGTTGCCATCGCTCTGCATTGCAAATCAGGCATCCAGCCAATTAAGTTAAACAAAACCCCAGGGATCACGGATTACTTAGTGGGACACAATTAATTTACATGCACGCTCTACGCAACAGTGTCCTGATGAACAGCTTAGAGAAATCATTAAATGGGCAAGCATCGTAGGATACCTTTATAACATGTTGCAAACTATAAGTGGTGGGACATGAAAACAATCACATGCACAAACAATTTCACAAATGGTGGACAATAACATCCCAATCTAAACAGTGACAGAATTTTGTTTTTAAAGCTCAAAACATTAACTTTGCTCCAACATTTACAAAAGTAATAATGTAGTAGAACTAATAATAAAATCAAGTCACCAAGAAAGCTTTCCATAACTAACCAATAACGGAGCAGAAATCTGTGCTCTATTTTTATATAGAGACAAACTGCTATTACAGTGCAGGTTAAAGGCAGGTAAGCAGCATGAGAACCTCAAGGGTAATTGTTTTAATGCTTACTAATAACAAGAAAAGATCACCATGAGGTACCAATCAGCACATGATTTCTCAAAAACATTGACCAGGCTCAGCATCATGGGGTTGCGAGTAATGCTGAATAAAAACTGTTATAATAATTCCGAATTAATATGATCTAAACTAAAAAAGTCTAATTTCAAATAATCGATTTAGTCTTTCCCTACAGTGTGGAAGTAGGCCATTTGGCCCATCAAGTCCACACTGACCCTCTGAAGAGCATCCACCCAGATCCACCCCCCTACCCTACAACCCTGCATATCCCATGGCTAAGGCAAGGCAATGGCCTAGTGGTATAATTGCTAGACAATTAATCCAGAAACTCAGGTAATATTCTGGGGTCCCAGGTTCGAATGCCACCATGGTAGAATGTGGAATTTGAATTCAACAAAAAAAAATCTGGAAACAAAAATTTCCTGATGACCATGAAACCATTGTTGGAAAAAACCCATCTGGTTTACTAATGTCCTTCAGGGAAGGAAATCTGTCATCCACAACTGGTCCGGCCGGCATGTGACACTAGACCCCACAGCAATGTGGTTGACTCTCAATTGCCCTCTGAAATGATCTACCAAACCATTCAGTTGTACTAATCACTACAAAGTCTCAAAGAAATGAAACCGGACGGATCACCTGGTATCAACCTAAGCACTGGAAAAGAAAAAATGCTAGAAACAGCCCTGCTGATCCTGCAAAGTCCTCCTTACTAACAGCTGGTAGCTACTGCCAAAATTGGGAGAGCTGTCTCACAGATTAGTGAAGCAACAGCCTGACATAGCCACACTCACGGAATCACACCTCACCATGTCCCAGACACCACCATCACCATTCCTTGATATGTCCTGTCCCATCACAGGACAGACTCAGCAGAGGTGGCAGCACAGTGGTATATAGTCAGGTGGGAGCTGGCCTGGGAGTCCTCCGGACCCCATGAAGCCTCATGGCTTCAGGTTAAACATGGATAAGGAAACCTCCTGCTGATTACCACATACTGCCCTCCCTCAGCTGATAAATCCATACTCCTCCATGTTGAACAACACTTGAAGGACGCACGGAGGATGGCAAGGCACAAAATCTACTCTGGGTGGGGGATTTCAACGTCCACCACCAAGAGTGGCTCAGTAGCAGTACCACTGATCGAGCTGGTCGGATCCTAAAGGACATAGTTGCTAGGCTGGGTCTGCAGTAGGTGGTGAGGGAACCATCAAGAGGGAAAAACATACTTGACCTTAACCTTATCAATCTGCCAGCTGCAGATGCATCTGTTCATGACAGTATCGGTAAGAGTAACCATCGCACAGTCCTCGTGGAGACGAAATCCTGCCTGCATATTGAGAATAACCTCCATCATGTTGTGTGGTACTATCATTGTGTTAAATAGGACAGACTTTGAACAGATCTAGCAACTCAAGACTCAGCATCCATGATGTGCCGTGGGCTATCAACAGCAGCAGAATTGTACCCCAGCACAATCTGTAACCACATGGCCTAGCATATCCAGCAGTCAACCATTACCATTAAGCCAGGGGATCAACCCCGGTTCAATGGAGAATGCAGGACAGCATGCCAGGAGCAGCACCAAGCATACCTGAAGATCAGGTCCAAACAGGAGTACATGCACGCCAAACAGCATAAGCAGAAATCCCACAACCAACGGATCAGATCTAAGCTTTGCAGTCCTGCCGCAAACAATTGTGAATGGTGGTGGACAATTAAACAACTCACAGGAGGTGGCGGCTCCACAAATATCCTTATTCTCAAAGATGGAAGAGTCCAGCATATCAGCGCAAAAAGATAAGTGCCGATTGGATGATCATCTCGGCCTACTCCAATCGTCCTTTGCATTAGAAATACCAGTCTTCAGCCAATTTGATTCAGTCCACGTGACATTAAGAAGTGGCTGGATACCGCAAAGGCTACAGCTACGGGCCCTGACAACATTCCAGCAATAGTACTGAAGACTTGTGCTCCAGAACTTGCCACTCCCCTACCCAAGCTGTTCCAGTAGTTACAACACTGGCATCTACTGAAAATGTGGAAAATTGCCCAAGTATGTCCTGTATATAAAAAACAGGACAAATCCAACTAGCCAATAGCCGCCCCATCAGTCTACTCTCGATCATCAGTAAAATGATAGAAGGTGTCATCAACAGTGCTATCAAGCAGCACCTACTCAGCAATAACCTGCTCAGTGACGCCCACTTTGGGTTCCGCCAGGGCCACTCAGCTCCTGGCCTGATTACAGCCTTCGTTCAAACATGGACAAAAGAGCTAACTCCAGGAGGTAAGAGTGACAGCCCTTGACATCAAGGCTGCATTTGACCGAGTATGATATCAAGGAGCCCTGACAAAGCTGGAATCAATGGATATCAGAGGGCAAAATCTCCGGTGGATGGAGTCATAACTAGAATGCAGGAAGACGGTTGTCATTGTTGGATGTCAGTCATCTCAGCTCCAGGACATCTCTGCAGGAGCTCCTCAGGGTAGTGTCCTAGGCCCAACCATCTTTAGCTGCTTCATCAATGATCTTCCCTCCATCATAAGGTCAGAAGTGGGGATGTTCGCCGATGATTGCACAATGTTCACCACTCGCAACTCTTCTGATACTGAAGCATTCAGTGTCAAAATGCAATAAGATCTGGACAATATCCAGGCTTGGGTTGACAAGTGGCAAGTAACACTCACGACACACAATGCCAGGCTATGACCATCACCAATAAGAGACAATCTAACCACTGCCCCATGATATTCAATGGTATTACCATTGCTGAATTCCCCACTGTCAACATCCTGGGGATTTATCATTGATCAAAAACTCAAATGGACCTGTCACATAAACACAGTGGCCACAAGAGCAGGTCAGAGGCTAGGAATACTGCGGCACATATCACACTTCCCGACTCCCCAGAGCCTGTCCACCATCTACAAGGTTCAAGTCAGGAGTGCAATGGAATATACCCGACTTGTCTGGATGAGTGCAGCCTCAACAACACTCAAGAAGCTCGATGTCATCCAGAACAAAGTAGCCTGCTTGATTAGCACTACATCCACAAGCATCAACTTCCTCCACCACTGATGCTCAGTAGCAGCCATGTGTACTATCTACAAGATGCAGTGCAGAAATTCACCAAAGATCCTCAGACAGCACACTCCAAACCCACGACCACTTCCATCTAGAAGGACAAGGGCAGCAGATATATGGGAACACCACCACCTTCAAGTTCCCCTCCAAGCCACTCACCACCCTGACTTGGAAATATGTCACAATGTGAGATGCTGGTGTTGGACTGGGGTGGACAACGGCAGAAGTCGCATGACACCAGATTATAGACAAACAGGCTTTTTTTTAAAATAAGCTTTCAGAGCGCTGTTCCTTCGTCAGGTGAAGGGAAGCACCCAGGGATAGAATTTATAGGCAGAGAGATCAAAAGATCATACAAATGGTGTGAGTGAAGTGTCTACAGGTTGAATAACAAGTCTCTGCAGGTGATCAAAAGTGTCAGAAAGTGAGTAAAGTGAAGGGATGACCTATGATCCGATTAATTGAGCTAGAGAGATAATTACAAAATATTAAAAATAAGATGGTGCTAGAGACAAACCAGATGACTAGAATAACAGGATAGGTATAAGAGTCGCAAGTCGAGAGTCTAACCAAAGTAACAAGTAATCCAAACTGTACAAACTAATTAAGGTAAAGCAATCATAACAACTTATCAAGGTGATGTTGTCAAAAAGGACCAGTGAGGAAGATTTTACAAATATAGAACAGTATGGTGGGATCACATATAGTGCTACATGAATATTGGATCACAGTTAAGGCCATCTTCCTCGGTACAGAACTCGGCTATCAGTTTCTGCTTGGCCATTCTGCATTGTCGTGTGTCTGAATGGCTGCCTTGGAGGATGCTTGTTCGCAGATCGGAGGCCGAATGTCTTTGCCTGCTGAAGTGATCCCCGACTGGGAAGGAACATTCCTGTCTGTTGATTGTTGCACAGAATCCATTCATCCATTGTCGCAGTGTCTGCATGGTCTCTCTATATATCAATATATCATGCCTCAGGGCATCCTTGCCTGCAGCGTATGAGGTAAATAATATTGGTAAGTCACATGAGTATCTGATGTTTATGTGGTGGGTCGTGTTCCCACTGGTGATAGTAGTATCCATGACAATGATCTGACATTTTTGTGGAGGTTGCCATGGGAGGGTCGCATGGAGTTATGGTCGCTGTTGTCTTGAAGGCTGGGTAGTTTTTGCTGTGAACGATGGCCTGTTTAAGGTTTTGCGGTTGTTTGAAGGCGAGAAGTGGGAGTGTAGGGATGGCCTCGGCGAGATGTTCGCCGTCATCAATGACATGGTCAAGGCTGCAGAGAGCATGGCGTAGTTTCCCTGCTCCGGGGAAGTACTGGACAAGGAAGAGTACCTTTATTGGTCATGTCCTATGTTTGTCTTCTGAGGAGGATGCTGCGGTTTTTTGTTGTAGCACGTCAGAACTGGTGATTGATGAGTTGAGCATCCTATCCTGCTCTTATGAGGCCGTCTTTCAGCATTTGTACGTGTTCCTCGCGTTACTCATCTGAGCAGATCCTGTGTACACACAGGGCTTGTCTGATGGGGATGGCTTCTTTAACATGTTTAGGGCGGAAGTTAGTGAAGTGCAGCATCATGAGGTTATCCATGGGCGTGCCGGAGAGTGAGATATTGAGGTGCTCGTCCTTGATGGAGGTACGTGTGTCCAAGAATGAGACTGATTCTGAACAGTAGTCCATGGTAAGTCTGATGGTGAGATGAAACTTGTCCATATCATTGTGTAGTCATTTCAGTGATTCCTCGCCATGAGTCCAAAGGAAGAAAATGTCGTTGATGTATCCGGTGTATAGCATTGGCTGGAGATCCTGTACTGCAAAGAAGTCTTGCTCGAATTTGTGCACAAAAATGTTGACATAGTGGGGTGCAAATTTGGACCCCATGGCTGTTCTGCGCATCTGGACGAAGAGCTAGTTGTCGGAGGTGAAGACATTGTGGTTGAGGATTAAACGGATGAGTTATTGGAGGGCATCTGGAAATTGGCAATTTTGGTGTTAAGTACTGAGGCGTTGCAGTGATGCCATCATCATGGGGGATGTTATGTAGAGTGCCAAAACGTCCACTGTGACATGAATGTTCCTGGTTTGACTGATCTGTGGGTGCCGAATTTCCCGTAAGAAGTCTGTATTGTTGTGACAGAAGCTGGGGGTTCCTACTACAATGGGTTTCAAGTTGTCCTTGACATTGCCAGAGAGGTTCTCACACAGGATCCCATCGCCAGATATGATGTGTGTTGGCTTTGTGCATCTTCAGAAGGCAGTAGTCTTCTATGCGAGAAGTACATGGGATGAGAGTACATAGGATACTCTTAAAGTCTGGACTAAAAGTCTTGATCAGTCTATTGAGTTGATGGGTGTGTTCTTTGGTTGGATCGGTAGGTAGTTGGCTATAGTATTCATGGCTGCTCAGTTGTTGGTATGCTTCTTTGTAATAGTCCGTTTTGTTTATTCTGTATGACAATGGCTCCTCCTTTGTCTGTTGGTTTGGTGCCAACATTGTGGTTGATCTTGAGAACATGGATGGCATTGCATTGCGCTTGGGTGACGTTCTGCACTATCTTGTGAGTGCGGCTGATGAATCTGGCATTGATAGAACTCCTGACAGCTTGAGCATAACATGTCCAGCCTAGGGCAACTGCCCTCCAGAGGGGTCCAACTCGACTCTTTTTCTTTAGTCACTGCACTGTGGATCTCTTGTCAACTGTTCTGGTTCATTGGCTGTCTCATTTGGCTCGCTGCTGACATCTTGGGGTTTATGGAAGAATTCCCGGAGTCTCATTCGCCTGATGAATCCCTCTGTGTCTGCCACAAGACCAATGGGGTCCATTTTGGTAGTGGGGCAGAAACTGAGCCCTCGGCTGAGAACTTCGATTTCATGTAATTGAAGGATGTGGTCAGACAAGTTGACGATGAATTTCCCTTTGGTGGTACTGGAGGAGGCTTAGTTACTGCTGGTCCTGATGCCAAGTTTCTCCATTTTCCGGTTCTTGGTGTGCATATAGGTGGCATAGTTCCATAGACATGGCTTGACAGTGTCTCGTAGCTGGTCTGCTGTATCCTGTGCGCAAGCTGGGAATATGGACTCTATCTCAATTTCAAGATTACAGCATCTGCTTAGAACTGGTGTATGAGATGATTGAGGAATGTGCGAGAGGTACGACAGCAGAGTCTCTCAGTATAGTCTGCATTATAGGATTGGCTTGTTTGGGTTTGTAATCTGTAGTCCTTTCAGGATCTTCTGCGTTTTCTTGCATCTCTGCAGAACACTCCACTCACACCATGTGTAAGAACTTCTGATGTCTCTGCCTGTAAATTCTGTGCCTGTGTGCTTCCCTTTACTTCACCTAACAAAGGAGCAGTGCTCCGAAAGCTTGTGATTTCAAATAAACCTGTTGGACTTTCACCTGGCGTTGTGTGACTTCTGACTTGGAAATATATTGCTATGCCTTCATGAAAGCTGGGTCAAAATTCTGGAATTCCCTCCCTAATGGCATTGTGGGTCAACTCACAGCAAGTGGACTGCAGCGGTTCAAGAAAGCAGCTCACCACCACCTTTTCAAGGGCAATTAGGGGTGGTTAATAAATGCTGGCTAGCTGGCAACACACATAAATGAATAAATAAAAAAAACACTTAATCTACACATCCCTGGACACTATGAGCAAGCTAGCATGGCCAATCTACCTAAGCTGTGCATTTTTGGACTGTGGGAGGAAACTTGAGCACCCGGAGGAAACCCATGTAAGTGTCAGGATAATGTGCAAACTCCACACAGGCAGTCAATCAAAGGTAGAATCGAAGCCTGGTCTCTGGCGCTGTGAAGCAGCAATACTAACCACTGATCCATTGTGCTGCCCAGCTATTGAAACATACATCTTAAGATAAAGTACGCATTAACTGGAATCTAAAGACTCACCTGGCTAGTACAAGCACTCCAAAGATAGACACAAGTGCCAAGTCCAACACTTAAAACGTTTAGAGAAGACCAGTCCACTAAGTTTAAATAAAAGTCATCCTGAAGTTCTGGTGCATCAAGAACTTTAAATGGAATCTTTGAGATTTTCCTAGTTGGCTTTCTTGGTGACCGCAACAATTTTTGGCTGTTTGAGACAGAAGAATACAAAATTAAATGCCACACCAAATAGAAGTATATGCCTCCTTTAAATGTGATGATGATTGTATTCTGCGCAATTTAGGAAAAGGCAGCAATATTTAGCATTTCACTGTTATAATTTCCTTGTGACCATTCATAAAATAGTAGAAATATTAGAATTCCCATTACAAACAGCATCATGAGGTACAAGGCTACCTTTTATTACTAACAGGAGATAAGGAGTAAGGCGAAATGTCATTTCCATCATCAGGACTTGCCCGTTTAGTGCTGAGCGAGTACTAGAAAATAAAATCAATAAGATAACAACAAGGATTACATATGTGAAAGATATTTTTTTAAAAAATTCTGTATGTGGAAACAGGGAAGATGTACTCTTTAGCAAGAAAAAATCATGATTCAAGAGCTGGATTTACAATAAATCCAGATGTTCATTTCAGTGATGCTATCCAATCAACTTTATTCAGTCCGTAGAATCATAAATGTAATTATGAACATTACTTCCATTCAGAGAACAAAAGTAGCAGGGAGCAAGGCAGTTAATGAGAGTAAGGAATGGAAATTAAGTATTAGTAAAGCACTGGACAAAATTTCTGGGACAAAAGTCAACAAATTCTCTGTAGAACAGATTGTAAAACTTTTTATAAAACAGATTATTCAGTGATAAGAAGTTCATACCTTGAATAAACTTTTCTTTTCAGGCGTTGAAGGCTGTAATCTTCTGTCTTCAGTTTGAGGATCTTGAACTTTTTCAATTCCTGCCCCAAGAAGCTCATTTTTAAGTAATGCAGAATAAGCAAGCCCATCTGTCAAAAGGCCAAAGGGAAATGCACAAAAACCTAAAATTTAAAAAAAAATCTCAAAGAGGAATGCAGTTCTCACTTACATAATTTTAATGTCTTAATACTAGTCAATTTTTAAAATCATTTTACATTTTTCAAGATACGTGCCTAAAATAACTTTAAAATGCGAAAGAGACAGTGGGGTGTTTCACCAACATTACTGATTGCATTGAGGTGCGTACAGTGTCTTCCAGTATAGCGAAACTTGTTAGCAACTGATGTGTTAAGCGATATTTGGTATTGTGGCAGGGAAGGACAGTAGACATTTTTTTGTGATCAAATCACTTTATTTGAGATTATATAAGCTTAACTTATCAAAGTTTACACTTTGCCTACTGCTTTTATCCTTCATCCAGAAAAGACTAAAGCAAAAGCTGAAGCAAAAACGTGACCACTGGTTAATCCACCGATGATTTAAGATGACAAAGTGAGAGAGAGCTTGCTTTCAGTTAGATAACAGATAGCGATATTACAAATTAGATGTATACAATATTTTGAATTGTACCCAATGAGTATACATCATTATCATACAGAAACCTGTTTTAGCTCTGTATTCTAATTCCCCTACAATTGTGTTTGAATTATCGTGACACAAATTTAATTTTTCACCTCTCTATCCTACAAATTAGGTTTTTATTCTTTCATGGGATGTGATCATTTCTGGCATTATTGCCCATCTCTTGTTGTCCTTGACAGAGTGGTGGTAAGGCAAATTATTCAACTGCTGCAGTCGATTTGGTAACAGCTTAGAAGAAACAAGTGGGCAGCTTAGAGTCAATCACCTTGCTTGTGGGTCTTGGCATTTCTTGCAGGCTAGACCAGTAATTATAGCAAAATTTTTGTTTTCTTTGAAGAACATTTATAAACCAGCTGCGTTTATAATCACAATTGAAGATAGTTCCATACTCACGATTATTGAAGTTACTTTTATTAAGTATTTGAACTAATTCATGAAATTTCAAATTCCACCCCAGAATTTAAACCCACGATTCCCAGCATTATCCTGGGCTTCTGGATTACTGGCCCAGTGAGATTACCACTATATCATTGTCTCTGTGTAAAGGCATACAGCATATGATAGTTTTCAAATTTTGTTGTGTAAAACTGTTTTTTGTTAAAAAGTGAATATTCTGTGGTGTTTCCCCAATTAAGTTCAAGACAGCACATTTCCATCAGATTGCATTAGTGATGCTGTTAATAATGAAGATTAAAAGCTCCATCTAATGATAGAATTTTGCAGCTAAAACTATGACTGGCTATTGGTCATATGTGCACTAACATCCCATGGTCCAAAGTAATAGGATGGTCTTGTAGCCGAAGTCCCATAGTCTGCAGGGAGTGTCACCATAGTCCACTTTTCCATGCCAACTAGAATGCAGCAACAGTTTGGCAAACGACAGATCAATACAGGAAGGTAACTAAGGGCTGTAATCCATGTCTTGAAAGTTTAGGCTATAGCCATATCTCAACTGCAAAATCAGTGCTTTGAAAATTAAAAAAAAAATCAAATAACGAAAGAAATGATTGGTCTTAGGACAGCAGCTTTTACATTATGGACATGTGTGCAATTATATGCTAATAGCCATCTCCGCTGTACCAAGATTCAGTTGAGAAAAGGAGACAAAGCTGTATTCTTGAAGTTCTGCACATCCAATTAGTGGAACCATCATTCTGTTTGGTAGGATGCAACCACGTGGCTTATTCTCCATCTGGTATCTGCCTAGAAGGCTCAGTCAATGGTTTTCAATTACTAACAACCAGATTTTGGCTCTTTTTCTAACAATTTCTATCCTGGCATACTTCCTTTCTCATAAAACCTCAAGTAGTAAGTAAAGTAAGCTATTTAATCCCTCCAGCCAACTTTATCCTCAACTCCTTCTCGCACCTTTCCAACTCTTGAGCTTTTAAAACAAAAATTCAATAATCTGGAATAGATATTGGCCAGGGCACTGAAGAATACTTCCTTTATTGCAACTTTAGAGTATAGGCATGCCACAATTTAATGCTTCAAACTGCATCACCAACAATGCAGCCTTCTCAATGCTGCACTGAAATGTCAGTCCAAATGACGAACCTGACTTAGTGTTCCACTCTATTGTCTTCATTCTTTTGGGGATGACAAGCCTTTTTTTATTCAAATTTTAAAATTAAAGCAGTACAATTTAATATTCTGTGCTTCTGGCTTTTCAAACATTGAATGTTTTGCAAAAGCTGTAATATCAGAAACACCAGCTAAACTTTTAAAACAAAAAGATTAGGAATTAAATGCGCAAGTGCCATTAGTTTCTTTCTGGAAAAAAAGGACTGCAACTGACTATTTTATAAACCATGTGATTCTTCAGTACTACCCACCCAAATGCCTGGGTACATTTTGTTTGTTTTTTGAATATAGGACCTTTTTGGAAGTTGAGTGAAGGAGCAATGGCCATAAAGTTGTGTAATTCATGCACCTGTGTTAATTTGGACTATTTCAGTGGTTGGTCTCTGACTGACAATTTCTTTATAAAGTATAGGGGTGGGGAAAGGAAGGGTACAGAAGGAGAAGATGAATAGATAAAGCAAATTGCTCAACTCAGTCCTGTAATTATCTTAAACTACATTATCTGCCTTAATTTTTAACTCAGCACTAGATGAGTTCCCACACGATTGGGAATTGTTTTGAGTTTACTTTTTTCTTTTAATTTGCATGTATCTGTAAAACTGCCTATTCTGAATGTGTGAAGATCGTAGAATTTCAGTCTGCTTGATTAAATAAGACTTGTTAAGATAGCTGAAACTGTAGGTACAGAACCTTTGCCATTGTCAGAGGTTGCATCTTTTGCTTTTCTGTTTTGACTGGGTGACTTTTCGTTCTCCTAGAACAGAGACAGAATCAAAATATATATGTTCAGTTATATGCATCCAATGCTCAAATAATGCAGGTCATTTATGTTGCACCATCTTAGAATTGGTCAATAGATCTATTTATAAATATTTTCAGATCAGAGTGTTTTCTTTTGCCACAGATCAATAATTTTAATAATGTTAGTCCATTTTTCTCAGACGTACATCTCAACGTCATTCAATTCACAATAATTTATGAATCAATGAATAATACAATTTTATTACTGTAAAATCATATGTGCTATATTCTTTTTACAGTCTTATATGGGATAGGAGAATCTCTGGTAAGGCCAGCATTTGTTGTCCTTCCTCAGTTGCCCTTCAGCTGATTAGGCCATTAGGGCAATTAGACAGCCAAAGAGTCAACCACATTAAGGTGGGTCTGGAGTCACTTGTAGATCAGACAAGGTAACGATAACAGATTTCCTTCTCTGAAGGACATTAGCGAACCTGATGAGCTTTTAGTGGCAATGGTCACTGTTAAACTAGCTTTTAATCAATCCGCCATGGTGGGATTAGAATCCATTTCTCCAGAACATTAGCCTGGGACTCGAATACCAGTCCAATAACATCACCGCAATTCCATTGCCTCCTCTAATTTGAGTCTAAAGAAAACTTGGGAAGATATACTTATTTCTAAAAAAAAAGTAACCATTTATTTCAACAGAAATAGAGACTCCCTTTTAAAAATTCACAGTGACATGATTCGAGCCACATTTTATATTAGATAGGTACATTAATAGCTGACATTTTCCTAACGTCTAGGTTGTATAGCAGTTCTGTAAAAACCTAGAAGTTTCAGGCAGAATATCTTCCAGAAGGAAAAGCTTATGCATTTCTCGTTGCAAAAAGTGACAATTCAGGGAATAATACAGTGGCTTCTAATAATAACTTATACTTGTACATTGGTTGTCATCATTCCAGAATATCATAGGCTGCTTTCTCATGACACAGATGACTGGTTGAGAGTTTAACCCAAGGGTCACCATGTCTGAGGGGAGGGTCGAGACTGAAAAGGGGACCTTCATGGTAACCTCAGGCAGAACAGAAATTGAACCCATGATGGTGGAACATCACATTTAACACAACTAACTATTGCAAGGCCTTTCACAGCTAAGCATTACTTAAAAGTTGACAATGGGTGCAAGGAGATATTAGAGTCAAATGCCAAGTTAAAAAGGTACATTTTAAATAATATTTCAAATGAGGAAACATGAAGAAAGGTTTGTGGAATTCCAAAGCTTTGCACTTTGCAGGCAGAGCCACCACGACTAAGTCATTAAAGTTGGGGATGCTCAAGAGTCCAGAATTGAATGAATGCTGTTTGATGCAGCAAAAATGTTTTAGTTTGTGTGTTGGTTTATAGAATGTCAAATATACAGATCACAGACATGGCATCATTCTGCACTCTGATAGGACAGGATTTACTCGCAATGAAGTTTGAGCTATTGAAAATGGGAAACATTTACTACTTAATAACTAGTAGCATGTTGACTAGTGAGAAGACTATTTTATTGTTTATTGCACAACTACATTAATATTTAACCATTGTTTCTAACACATTTTATCAACCAGACTTTGCCACAAAGCTTTCTTATGGAGACTGCCAGTCATTTAATACCCAAAACTTACAAGCATTTTATAAACAACTGCACAAAAAATAAACTTTGATTATATCAAAGACCATTTCTTTAACAATTATATTTTGAAGCCTTAAAACATCAGAATATTATAACATATGGTGTACAAGATGTCTATGCTTCGTGATCTGCTGCGTTACATAAAATGTCAAATAAAAGTTCCAATAAGAATAAAAGGCTTCTGGAACACAAGAACACTGTTGAGAAAATGTAGGCCTATCTGTAGGTTGTGACACCTTCTTTCTTAGATATTTGTGCATACAACCTACATTGCAGATGGTCTTTTACCATATTCATAAACATTTAAGATTCAATACAAGTGTGACCACGAAAAAAAATGTCTGAGCAGAAGCAAATTTTGACAAAGAATAATACTGTTTAAATGGGAATGACGTTTATTCGGTTGAATGTTTCAGCTACATTTTTCTTAATCTGTCCTAATATTTCCATTTCTGCTCAGTGTTTATTTCAAATCCAGACTTTAGTTACAAAGGATTAAATTTTCATATTCCTGACCACTGTAAATAGAAAAAGGTGCTAATGTTTGACATTGTCTGGCACATCTGCTGCAAGCATTAGTTGACTGCTACTGTTTTGAGAGGCAAGGGATGAAGGGGATGGTACCATCACTGGATCGCTAGAGACAAGTGAATTAGGCAGGTGAATTAAAATGCAAGGTCAGGTGAGTCAGATGCAAAGGCGGAGGGGTAGCTTTAGAGCTCTCACTGCTTCATGATGCTGAGTCTTATAACAGGTCACCGTGGTTTTAAACAAGGGACCCCACCTTTTCCCATCAAAAAGGCCAAAGGCAAATCTTAAAGGATTGCTTGGGCATCGTTCAACAACCACAACTGATCTATGTGAGCCCTGTAAAATCCCTGCGCCATTATTAAATCCTGAGGATCACAGATTATTTGGCTTTAATAAGCTTAATTGACATCCCTTCCTGCTTTTTGCTAAGTCTGGGACAATTTTGTCTGCGCTAGGAATCAGCCTGAGGTACTACTGCCAGATTCAACCTACCGCTGACAACCATGCCCACTATAGGAGATATCTTTATATTTCATTCGCTATCAGGCAATTCATAACTACCTGCATTACTAATGTCAGATGTGAAAGATTTTCCATTGGAAGAATGCTCAAATAAAAACTGGAGGAAAGTGAGTTGGTATTTTTGTTTGACTAATCACAGTCAATTAGGGTTTCTAATCCTGATTGGAAGATCCGGGACATCCAGGTTAAGTTGAATGAGGAACATGAATCCTCATTAAAGCAAAAATTTAATGTTATTCCAATCTAATCCCAAACGTCCAAATATTTTCCCTGCAAAATGTTTATATTATTGAATATTTTCAACAGTAACATACATTAATTCTGTGAAAGTTTATACTCCAGTTGGCTGCTGCTCTTGAAGGGATAAACCGGTCTCCACTTTTACTTGGTGATGACACTGGTGAATTTGAAGGTGTTAATGTTCTTCTAACTTCTGACATCTAAACAAAATCCAGAAATAGACAATGATGTTAAATTAAAACTACAAAATCCAAAACAAAATTTGAGCACAGCACCAATTTATTTCTCTGTTAATTTTTTCTAGGTCTCAGTTTCAGCTGAACATACAAATTAGCAGTGAGACATTTGATACAGTGTCACACAACAGTCCTGTAAAGAAAGTTATAGGTTATGGAATAAAAGGGACAGTAGTAACATGAATACAAAATTGATTGTGGGATAGGAAATAGAAGAATGGTTAGTGTTTTCCTCTGGTTTGTAAAGTTTGTAGTGGAGTTCCCTAGGGTTCTGCATTGGGGCCCTTCTTTTTCCTGAAGATATAAAGGATCTAGATCTTGGTGTGCAAGGGACAGTTTCAGAATTCAGACAGTAGCAGAATTGTACTTCAGTACAAAAAACATAAAAAGACAGTATTAAACAAAGGGTACCAAACTAATGGGTACACAAGAGCATAGACACTGGGTACATATGTACATGTCATTAAAAGGTGACAGAACAGATAGACAGACTGTTAATAAAAATACAGTATTCTAGGCTTCATACATAGGGACATAGTTTACAGGAGCAGGGAGGTATGATGAACTTATGCAAGGCATGTTAGACCTCAGCTGAGCACTGTGTACAATTCTGGGTGCCCCACGAGAGGAAGGTTGCACATGTATTGGACAGAATGCAGAAGAGGTTTACAAGAATGGTTCCAGGGATGAGACTGCTCAGTTTTGAGGAAAGACTGGAGAATTTGGAACTGTTTTACTTGAAGAGGAGAAGGTTAAGAAGAGATTTGATAAAAGTTTTCTAAATTATGAGGGGTCTGGATAAAGTGGATAGGAAGAAACTATTCCCACTCAAATGGGTCAAGAACCAAAAGGCACCATTATAAAATGATTTGCTAAAAAAAAAAGCAAATGTGAAGTGAGCAAGAGATAGTAGGAACTGCAGATGCTGGAGAATCTGAGACAACAAGGCGTAGAGCTGGCTGAACACAGCAGGCCAAGCAGCATCATAGGAGCAGGAAGGCTGACATTTCGGGCCTAGACCCTTTTTCTGAAGAAGGGTCTAGGCCCGAACCGTCAGCCTTCCTGCTCGGCCTGCTGTGTTCATCCAGCTCTACGCCTTGTTGTCTGTGAAGTGAGCAAAACTTCTTACATAGAAAGTAGTTAGCACATGGAATGCAGTGCCTGGAAATATAGTGATTTAACAAGGCATTTGATAATTAAATAGATTCAATGTGCAGAATTATGGGGGCAAGACAGGAAATTGACACCAAGTTAAAATGATCAGAGAGCTAATGCAGACATGATGAGCCGAATGGTCTCCTTCTGCTCTAGTTTTAAAGATATTTGTGTTGGTTTTTCGTAAAGAGTTAACTGCACGGTTGTGTTCTTATGAGAGGTTACTACTTACATTACGTTAGAAAATGAGCTTCATGTCATCGCTTATTCCTTCTCCTACTTAAAGCCTTTTACGAAGCATCCAGAATACTAAGGTCCTCTTAACCAACCAGTAACAGGCCACTGACTTGTAAAGACCATAACACCATAAGATACAGCAACAGAAATTAAGCCATTCAGCCCATCGAGTGCCATGCAATCATGGACAATTAGTTTTTCAACCCCATTCTCCTGCTTTCTCCCTGTAACCTTTGATCCCCTTGACAATCAAAGACCTTTCTATCGCTGTCTTAAAAATATACTCAACGACCTGGCCTTCACAGCCTTCTGTGGCAGTGAATTCCATAGATTCACCACTCTCTGGCTGAAGACGTTTCTCCTCTTCTCTGATCTAAAAAGTCTTCCCTTTATTCCAAGGCTGTGCCCTGGAGTCCTAGTCTCTCCTACCAATGGAAACATCTTCCAACGTTCACCCTGTCCAGGTCATTCAGTATCCTGTAAGTTTCAATTAGACACCCCTCATCCTCCTAAACTCCATCAAGTACAGACTCACGAGTCCTCAAACGTTCCTCATATGTTAAGCTTTTCATTCTTGGGACCATTCTCATGAACCTCCTCTGGACCAGTTATGGGGCCAGTACATCTTTCCTGAGATATGGGGCCCAAAACTGCACACAATACTCCAAATGTGGCCTGACCAGAGCCTTATAGAGCCTCAGAAGTATACCCCTGCTTTTATATTCAAGTCTCTCAAAATAAATGCCAAAGTTGCATTTGCCTTCCTAACTACTGACTTAACCTGCAAGTTTACCTTGGGAGTTCTAGTCCAGGAATCTCTCAAGTCTCTTTGTACTTCAGACTTCTGAATTTTCTCCCCATTTAGAAAATAGTCCATACTTCTATTCTTCTTACCAAAGTGCATGATCTCACATCTTCCCACATTGTATTCCATCTGCCAATTCTTTGCCCACTCTCCTAACCTGACCAAATCCTTCTACAGCCTTCCCACCTCCTCAATACTACCTGTCCCGCCACCTATCTTTGTGTCATCTGCAAACTTAACCAGATTGCCCTCAGTTCTTTCATCTAGATTATTAATGTATAAAGTGAAAAGTTGTGGTCCCAACACTGACCCTTGCAGAACAACACCTGTCACCAGCTGCCATCCTGAGAAAGACTCTTAACCCCACTCTCTGGCTGTCTGGCAGAAAGCAATCTTCTATCTATGCTAGCACCTTGCCTCTAACACCATGGGCCCTTACCTTACTCAGCGGCCTACTGTGTGGCACCTTGTCAAAGGCCTTCTTGAAGTCCAGGTAGTTAACATCCATTGGCTCTCCTTGGTCTAACCTGCTCATTACTGCCTCAAAAAATTCTAACAGATTTGTCAGGCATGACCTCCCTTTGATGAAGCCTCGCTGACTTTGCCCTATTTTACCACACACTTCCAAGTATTCAGAAATCTCATCCTTCATAATGGACTCCAAAATCTTACTCATGGCTGAGGTTAGGCAAATCAGCCTAATTTTCTGACTTTTGCTGTATACCCTTTTTAAACAGGGGTGTCACATGAGCAATTTTCCAGTCCTCTGGGACCCTCCCTGACTCTAGCAATTTCTGAAAGATCACCACTAATGCCTCCACTATCTCTTCAGCTTTCTCCTTCAGAACTCTGGGGTGTAGTCCATCTGGTGTAGGTGATTTATTCACCTTCAGGCCAGCTTTTCAAGCATCTTCTCCTTAGTGATGGCCTCCATACTCAGCTCTGCTCCCTGATTCTCTTGAATTTTTGAGATATTACTCGTGTCTTCCACCGTGAAGACTAACGCAAAGTAATATAAAGTATTGCCTGGTTGTTAAACACGGCTTTATTATTTAATTCCTCAATGTGTTACACTGAAATTACAGTCTGGCAATGTTTTGTCTGGTCAAGAACATAAATTAAGGTCCTAGAAGGTCATTAAAGGTGGACTTGAAAATATTTAAACAGGTCTACATCTGTTAAGAGAAACTACAGATTCATGTTTTATGTTGCCAGGAAAAACTGCTTTATACTCAAAAGATTCAATACCCCAGTTTTTCAGATGCTGATTGATGAGCCTTACCCACATATTAGCACATGCCAAAGCTCATTTCTTACAAGGGGAGTTATAAATAGATCATTTTTAAAACTTAAAAGTACGGCATTATGTTTACTACTTCTTATGTATATGTATTTAACGGACTTGCAGGGTTTCTTTTCCCTTCCTTTTGTAATAGTGCAGTGCACCTTTTACACATGACATGGAGTAGCTGACAGGCTGACTTGGAATATGTTGGACTCTAACAAACATTTTGGAAATTTTGCCAGTGTGATGCGCCATCAGATTGCCCTACTTACATTATTTTGGTTTTGTGCAGCTCAAGATATTTGATTGGAAGTTACAATAGTTATTATTATTGATTTACATTGGTACTAGATTCTTAAATGCCAATGTCCGCATGGACAGAGTACTTAACAGTCGTGGTCAAATTGTCAACCTGACTCCCAAATTATACGGTGAACTTCATTTGCCGCATACCTACTTATATTGACTTTTATTGGCTCTAACACTTTAAATTTAATGCAATTTTATGAGAATTCCAGCTGCAATAATGAAATTTATCTTCAATTAATGATAAAAACCTAATTCTAAGTTGAACATTTAAGCTGAAGTCACTGTTCATGATTTTTGTTTGCCGCCGTACTATTTCTCATTCAGAATTCAATAACGGAGTCCAAAGATACTCTAACCCAATAACAGTGTAGAACTCCACATCACTGGGGTCACTTTGGTTACCTATTTTTCAATTTATAGATATATCAGAAGTCATAAGACAGAGTCGATCCAATGTTTCTCATGAAAGTTAGGGAACAGTCAAGAGAACTGGTTCGGTTTTCAAACTTTTGGAAAAAAGTAGCCAAACTGTTATATATTTCTTAGTCACTACACCTTGAGAATTTCAACACTTGCATTTTGCTTATCAGCAAATGAATATTAAGGCCATAATAGACTAATGCCAAAAATAGATTGACTTAATTTGGCTCACACAATGCAGATGGGTGTCAAAGTCGTCTCTGTACTTTTAAGGAAAATATTTCATCATTTATATGCACCATTTATAGATAAGGCCAGCCTCGCCTGAAACAAACATATCCATAAGTAAAAAGTTAATTGGGACAATACCAGTGGGATTCAGTGACATTGAATCGGACTGATTTTATGTCAATTCTCATCTTTAAAAAAACTTCACCTATGTAATATTGATCATTAATTCAACAGCGTTGTCAGGATTTTAGTAAGTGCAATAGCAGATGCATAAAATTCTCACTATGTCTACCCGAAATCAGAAATAAATCAGTAGAACACCCTTAATTTCATTGTCCAAAATGTGGATTATATTTGGATTGAGTACTTTTATTGGAGACAAATACTGAGGGAAGGAGTGATAGTTTGGATGTAGGAAGCTGAGCTCATAGTCAAAACAATGCCCATACATTGCTATTCCTCTCTAAGCTTGATATGTCAATGTTAGAGATTGATGACTGAGACGCCAGATTTATAATCTATTTGCCGACTGATATTTTTCTGGATTGAACGTTAGCATTCCCAGTGAGAGGCAGCGAGGCAGGAAAACAAAAGTGAATCAAACCAGAACATGAAAGCTAATGAAAAAAAAAAATACTCACACAAGGGACTTTGTTTTCATTCTGAACATTAATTTGTCGTAGAAGTCGTCGCTCATAATCCTGATCCATGGTTAGCGGAGTTGAATCTTATTAAGGCTTAATCAGGAGTCAGTACTGAAACCAGGAAAAAAAAATCATCAATCAGGAATCATCTAAAATACTGTGCAACCTTTACACTAGTTAGCCATCATGATAAATACACAAAACAATTCACTGATTGGAATTCAAATAAGATACCATTTGAATGTTTTCAGTCAGAACTTTGACAGACTAACCTTTTGGAAGTTAACACAAAATAAATGTGCTGTGCATCTGTTTTAATATCACGGTGCGAAAGCAAAACAGAGATCAGATAACATAACAAAAAGTCATTCTTCAAGGTCCCAAACTGTATTATAAATGTTCCCATTAAAACATGCCTTTCCTTTTTTGTTATTTGAAGGAAGGCCTTATGAGGCAGCATCAAGCTGATCACTTAGCACCAGTAGCAGCATAACTTTAAAGTAAAAAGCATTCACAGGCACAGCACAGGTGAGGGGACCAAAACTAAATAGGAATTTAGAGAGGAACAAATATTGTGCTATGAAAGAGAGATTTGGATGGAGATACTTTGAAGTGCAAAAGTTGGAACAAGGAATCTATACCATTGTCTACTCAATGCCAGAAAGGCTGGTATTGGGAAGCTTTTTTTAAAAAAAACAAAACTGGGATTAAAGTACTTTGCAGAGATAGCGGCTAGGACTTACAGTTTGATTGTCCAGAAAGGCAAAATAAGCTCCGTGTTAGCATTATTGATGCCACTAATTATGACCAGCACAGAATGTAAGATTTAGCAGCAAAGAAAAACAATATTAAGGAAAATAATAATTCATGATTTGTTATTTTGCACTTCACAACGAAGTTCCTAAATTTATCAGAATAGAAGAGCATTCAATGGGCTTGTTAAGTAAAAAAGATAAAGCAGTACATTCTGAAATACAGAGATAGTAGGAACTGCAGATGCTGGAGAATCTGAGGTAACACGTTGTAGAGCTGGATGAACACAGCAGGCCAAGCAGCATCAGAGGAGTAGGAAGG